GGTGTGTGATTACTGGCTGTGTTTTAAAGCACTGAATCAGTGTAGTCTGTGTTGCAAACAATACTGCTTCTGTAAAATGTTGCATTTAAACTTCGCAGAGATGACCTTGGGAGCCCAGCCTCCCTCTTTGTTATCGGTGGCACAACGGCTGCGCAGAATTAAGAAGCGGCCAAGAAGAACTAAGGAGGACTTTCTCCGTGAGCTTATGATGCACTCCGCCACCAAGAAATAGGAATTGAAGGAGTGGAGGGACAGCAAGAAGAGGGACTGAAAGGAGAACACGACACTCCAGAAAGAAGCCATGGAGCGGCTCTTAAACGTTACGGAGTGCCAAGTGCACACGCTCCAGGCGATTCTAGCTCTTCAAATGGAGTAGTTCCACGCCCACCCTCCCCTGCAGCTGCTGTCACAAAACTCTTTCCCATGCACCCCCCTCACACCACCAACACTCTGTTATCAACCTCCTGGCTCCACTCTCTACCCGCAGCATTCCACTCCTCCCTCCTCACAGTTCAGCAGTGTGGACTCCCACTACCCACTGTACTCAACACCCATCACTCTGCAGTTTGGCCCTGCTGAAGTACAGCACCCACAACATTGTACTCCAAAGGAGAAGGTTGAGTACGATCCCTCGACATACACAAATCTGTAGCCGTCCCGGGACCAGTCCTCCTCTTGAGACCTTCCCTTCCCCCATCACCCTCCCTGATGTATTTTTTCATTTGACTCTCTCCTCCAGTTATCTTTTAACAAAAGGATTGTGTTGGTTTGAAAGCAACCATTCTATTAAGTGAAAACAAAAAGATCACTGCAAAGCAACATACAATTATGTTAAGTCCCTTCTTACATCATGTGCACCAATCACCTCCTACAAGCACTGCAATCCCGAGCACAAAATATTAGTGGCTTTCAGCTTCAACTTGCTGCCTCAAGGCATCCCTGATCCTTATGGCCCCGCCCTGTGCCCTTCTAATAGCCCTGGTCTCTAGCTGTTCAAACTCAGCCTCTAGGCGCTGAGCCTCTGCGGTGCAGCCCTGATTGAAGCTTTCACCCTTCCCTTCACAAATATTATGAAGCATCCAGCACACGGCTATAAGCATAGGAATATTGTCATCGGCCAGGTCCAGCTTCCCATAGAGGCATCGCCAGCGGGCTTTTAAATGGCTGAATGCACACTCCACAATCATTCTGCACTTGTTCAGCCTGTTGTTGAACTGCTCCATGCGCTCAAGTTGCCCCATGTATGGCTTCATAAGCCATGGCATTAAGGGGTAGGCGGGGTCTCCCAGGATCACAATGTTCAACTTCCCCTACAGTGATCTTCTGATCCGGGAGGAAAGTCTCTGCTTGCAGCTTTTGAACAGGCCAGTTTTCCGAAAGATGCATGCGTCATGCACCTTTCCAGACCAGCCTGCATTAATGTCTGTGAAATGCCCACGGTGATCCATAAGTGCCTGGAGAACCATTGAGAAATACCCCTTGCGATTAAAGTACTTGGTAGCTAGGTGGTCTGGTGCCAGAATTGGAATGTGCGTGCCATCTATCACCCCTCCGCAGTTAGGGAAGCCCATTTGTGCAAAGCGATCCACAACGTCACGCACATTGCCCAGAGTCACGATCTTTCAGGGCAGGATGCAATTAATGGTCCTGCACACTTCCATCAACACAACTCCAACGGTCGACTTTCCCACTCCGAATTTGTTAGTAACCAATCGGTAGCAGTCTAGACTAGCCAGCTTCAACAGTGCAATTGCCACACGCTTCTCCAGTGAGATGGCAGCTCTCATTATCGTGTCCTTGTGCTGCAGGGCTGGGGTGAGCTCATCACACAGTCCCAAGAATGTAGATTTCTTCATGCAAAAGTTCTGCAGCCACTACTCGTCATCCTAAACAAGCATCACGATGTGATCCAACCACTCAGTGCTTGTTTCCTCGAGCCCAAAAGCGGCGTTCCACTGTGGTCAGCACTCCGTGAATGCCACAAGCAATCTCGTCGTAGCTACTACGCGTGGTGAGATCAATGTCGCACTCTTTTTGCCTTTGTAATTTAAGGAATAACTCCACTGATGTGTTGGTCTGAGCAAGCAGCATACTGGTCAGCAGTTCAGGATCCATTCCTGCAGCCCGAAAGAAGCAGGGCGTGCAGTACACACACACCGTTGAAAGATGGTGCCAAATGCGGACCTAAGCACAGGGATAGCTGGGATGTGAAGCAATGCATCATGGGGCATTGGGACAGGACCCAGGATGCCCCGCAACCCCCTCCGCCTTTCCACAAGTCTCAGCGGCAAAAGAGAAAGAGATGCTCTGTGGGATAGCTGCCCAGAGTGCACCACTCTGAATACCACTGCAAATGTGAACACACAACAGCGGTTTTCCTTCTGTGCTCTCTGAACGGCGCTGTTACTGCTGATGCTGTAACTTTGGGCTAGTCTACACTGGCAATGCTAAAGTGCTGCCGCAGCAGCACTTTAATGTGGCTTGTGTGGTCATGGGGCTGGGAGAGCTCACCACCTTCACAAGGGGCGCGGCTCCCAGCACTGGTGCACTGTCTACACTGGTGCTTTACAGTACTGAAAATTGCTGCGCTCAGGGGGGTGATTTTTCACACCTCTGAGTGAGAAAGTTACAGCACTGTAGATTGCCAATGTAGACAAGCCCTTTGTCAGTGTAGACGTGCTGTTAATCACAAAACCATCCAGCCTCTCAAATTAAATCATCATCAGGGGGCACCTGAGGTCTTCTCAAGGTTAGGGAAATTTACACTGGTGTAATTGCACTGATATGTAAATTAATAATCTGGACAAGCCCTTAATTAACCACCTATTGAGCTGAATGGGACAACTCATACCTCTTAGAGCTTGTTTCAGTGTCCCTGGAAATGAAGGCAGATATTGCTGCATCATTTATACCTGGATCAGATTTTGAAAGCTTTCTTTACAATCATAACAACAGAAGGCTTTCATTTTAAGAGAGAGAAATTGTGGAGAACAAGATGGCAGTACCTGGTAGCCAAAACAACATGACTTTGCTCAAATTAAGTCCTAACTAGAACATTCTGCTTCCTCAGGTTTGCAAACAAAAGATTTTCAACCTAATCTTATTGCTCTTTTCATTTAAAGATTTGACAAGGAACAAATTTCCTGTACAGCCATTTCATACTACATTAACTAGAAATTCATCCTAAATAATTTCAGGGTTTTTAAATGAGACAAGGTGGGTGATGAGGGAATATCTGCTAATGGGCCAACTTCTGTGGTGAAAGAGACAAGCTTCCAAGCTTATCATAGAATCATGGAATCATAGAATATCAGGGTTGGAAGGGACCTCAGGAGGTCATCTAGTCCAACCCCCTGCTCAAAGCAGGACCAATCCCCAATTAAATCATCCCAGCCAGGGCTTTGTCAAGCCTGACCTTAAAAACTTCTAAGGAAGGAGATTCTACCACCTCCCTAGGTAACGCATTCCAGTGTTTCACCACCCTCCTAGTGAAGAAGTTTTTCCTAATATCCAACCTAAACCTCCCCCGCTGCAACTTGAGACCATTACTCCTTGTCCTGTCATCTTCTACCACTGAGAATAGTCTAGAACCATCCTCTTTGGAACCACCTCTCAGGTAGTTAAAAGCAGCTATCAAATCCCCCCTCATTCTTCTCTTCTGCAGACTAAAAAATCCCAGTTCCCTCAGCCTCTCCTCATAACTCATGTGTTCCAGACCCCTAATCATTTTTGTTGCCCTTCACTGGACTCTCTCCAATTTTTCCACATCCTTTTTGTAGTGTGGGGCCCAAAACTGGACACAGTACTCCAGATGAGGCCTCACCAATGTCGAATAGAGGGGAACGATCACGTGCCTCGATCTGCTGGCTATGCCCCTACTTATATATCCCAAAATGCCATTGGCCTTCTTGGCAACAAGGGCACACTGTTGACTCAGATCCAGCTTCTCATCCACTGTCACCCCTAGCTCCTTTTCCGCAGAACTGCTACCTAGCCATTCGGTCACTAGTCTGTAGCGGTGCATTGGATTCTTCCGTCCTAAGTGCAGGACTCTGAACTTATCCTTGTTGAACCTCATCAGATTTCTTTTGGCCCAATCCTCCAATTTGTCTAGGTCCATGGACTTGTGTACGTCCAGCTTTTCTAAATAGTCCCTAACCACTTCTTTCTCCACAGAGGGCTGGCCACCTACTCCCCATGCTGTGTTGCCCAGCGCAGCAGTCTGGGAGCTGACCTTGTTCGTGAAGACAGAGGCAAAAAAAGCATTGAGTACATTAGCTTTTTCCACATCCTCATTCAGTAAGGGGCCCACACTTTCCTTGGCTTTCTTCTTGTTGCTTACCCATGTATGAGCTGAAGAAGAGAAAGCTTGTCTCTTCCACCAACAGAAGTTGGTCCAATATATTACCTCACTCATCTTGTCTCTCTAATACCCTGGGACCAATACAGCTACAACTCCACAGCAAATAAAGTCACTGCTGGAGCCAGACTTTATTTTCCTTTACTCCCAGTGCAATTCCAGTGAATATACAGGGTTATGCAGCTCTTTGTGTAGAATATGGCCCCCGATTCACCAACAATTCAGTATCTGCTTCTGATAGGTGAACACGGGACTGGGCATATTTTGTGGATACCTCCTACCCCAAAAAACAGTCCTCCTGGACTAGGAGTGAAATACTGAGGCCAGGTCTAAATGTACATCACTATAGTTAGGTCACTGGGGGTGTAAAAGAGCCATACCTCTGATTGAGACAGTTATACCAACCTAACCCCAGGTGAGGTCAGCACTCTGTTGAGGGAAGGGCTCCTCCCACAGACGGAGCTGCTGGTGGAGGTGGGTTAACTACACTGATGGGGGACGCTCTCCTGTCCACAAAGTAGCCTCTTCACTGAGTGCAGCCCTGCCCTGAGGCCACCAGGCCCATGCCGAAGGGCTCCCGGGGCCTTGCATTTCCTCCCCCAGACCTCTGGTCCCGTCCCCCGCCCAGGCCGCCTCTCTAATGAGCACGTGGGCGCCCCGAGCGGGGAGCTGCCGCCACAGGCACCTCGGATCTGAAGGAAGGAAGGAAGGAGGCGCCCAGAATTCCAACCGCACGCGCTACTCCCGCCTGCCCAGCCCCCACCGACCCGCGGGAAAAGTCGGAGGAAGCCGCGCATGCGCAGCAGCGAAACTGGAGGCGCGGCCAGGGAGCGAAATCAGTCCGCAGCCAGCCGGCCGCACTGCGCGCGCACCCCCGCGGGGAGGGGGGGGAATGGCCAGTCTGGTGCCAGGGGCAGCGGCTCTCGCCCCCGCCGCCCCGGGAGCGGCCCGCAGCAAGAAGCGTCCGGCGAGCCCGGGCAACGGCAGCGGCCCCAGCAAGAAGAAGAAGGTGCCGGCGACGGTGAACGGCCCTCAGCTAGCAGTGAGTGCGGGTGGTGAGGACTGGCGAGGGAGGAGTGCGCATGTGCGGGGGGGGGGACGGGAGGAGTGCGCATGTGCGGGGGGTCATAGCGCGCCCCCCCCCCCCCGAAGCCTGCATTTCCCACAGCCACGTGCCCTAGGCGGGGCGCTCCCACCCACTGGTGCCCTTGACCCCCCCCCCATAAGCCGGCGTGAGGCAGCGTGGCCTAGCAGGCAGAGCACTGGATCAGGACTCTAGAGCTAGGTTCTATTCCTGCCTCTGCCACCAGCCTCCTGGGTAACCATGGTACCTTTGTGCCTCAGTTTCCCCATTTGTGAAATGGGGTTAATGACACTGGGCTCCTTTGTCAAGCACTTTGAGACCTGTTGTCATACACTCTTAGAGCATCTCAGCACAAAAAATCAAGGGATATGTCCCCCAATACACATGGGTGAGTGCAGAAACGGAGGACAAAGTAGTGCAAATGGGGTTTTGCAATGGAAATGCTCATACCTGAGCTAGGCTAAGCCAGATCCTAATCACCTGGGTTAACTGTGTATTGTAGCTATAGCTTAAGGGATGTAGCCTCACACAGGTGCAATAAAGGCATGTTTAAAACCACTTTATATGTATCTAGGTCACTAAAAGGTGTTGTAAATGTGTTAGAACGCCCAATCAGACCCTGCTTTGGAGAAGTTAGATTTTAGGCATGATTGCTGCAAACCCAGAATCCTGTACTATGCTCAAGGACTTGTGTTCAGCCCAATATAATTCATATAATTGGCCCTTCCTTGAGTTCCACCACATACAAATCTCGTAAGTATGATGGTGCTTTTAACTCAAGATGGCCTGTTGGGCTACATGTCGAATTAGCCCAATTCATCAGTTGCTAATACAATTACTCTTTGCATCTTGAGTGTTATTTCACAGGATGGGCTGCTCTCACTTGAGTTAAACTAGCACAAGAGGAGTTAGGTGTCTTCGCTGCAGAGTTATTACATAGTGTGGTATAGTGTCATGCATCTCTTGAGCTATCTATGCCTACCAAATGTGGATTGGGGCCAATGGAGCATGCATGTCTTTACATGTGAATGTTGAAAAGTTGAGTCTCTGTAGGCTTTGTGTGTCTATAGTGTAGATCCTCAATGATTATTCCCTTTTCAGGAGGCATAACAGTAGCTAGAACTAGTCCAAAAACAGAAAAAGTTTCCATGACAAAAGTCTGTCCTTATTTTTATAGAAAATATCTACTTCCACACTTTTTTGATTAGCTCTAGTGGTATTACAGCTTCTAAGTGAGCAATGCTGCCAGTAAGGTTGCTTATTTTCACAAAAGCCTTGGGGAGATCAATGGGGATAGCTCTGGAATTCCCAGCAAATCCTCTGACCCTGTAACTTGAAGATCACCATCCTTGTTCTTCTCTGTATGACAATTAGCCCTCCCTCAGCTGGACAGCATCTCTGCAACTCCCATGAGTTCAGCTTGTGGCATTTACAGATCTTCCTTTCCCCTTCTGTGGTATTATCAATAAGCAGTGAGGTTTTTGGCCCACTGTTGTTTGTAACACTGGCTGCTAGCTAAAATAATGTTAAAAATGGTTGCCAACCATTATCACATTTGACAACCATTTTCAAGGGCTGTTGTGGCTAGCAGTCTGGATGTTCAAGGATGGTAAGGGCGAAGTGTATATTTTATATGACTTGTTTATAAGAAAATCTATCTTTATGTTTGAGATATATTCTGTGTCAATAGACAGCTGCTAGTAAAGTGAAAGAATCCTTAATTTCCTGCCCTAAGTTGGGTTGTAATATTTCGTACTAAACAGCTTTTGCATTCCTCCCTTGAGGTGGCTGCATTGCACTGGTGGATGAAGTAATTTCTCTACACAGTGTATGAAGTACTATATATAAAAGTATGCTATTGACTTCAGTGGTGCAGGGTCTGTTCCAAAAAGTCACAACTCAGGAGCTTAGGCATACTTAACCCCCTGGAATGAAGAAAATCTGCTGTCAGTGTACTGGTTCTCTGGCCATCAAACATACACACGGTGTTGACTAGCTGTGGAGAATGCCATATCCTCTGTACCTTAGACAGAAGAAGAGACACCCTGATGCAGGACTTTTAAAACAGAAACATAGAAATGAAGTTGATCTGTATATTTTTAGAGTTAGAAACACTCATCATTTGGCATGTTCTTCAGCAATTACTTTTTCTACCCATACCCCATAAATTCCTACAATTTTTAGTTACACAGCTACCAACGTATTCATGCATAAACTGATTTCTGACAAGATGAAACACTTAATAAATCCAGTCTCTAATCTAATCATAATGCAGCCAGTCATCAGCTAGCTCTAACTCTACTTCATGAGTATCCCTCTGATTAAGTAGCTCAGTCAGTCAGCGACTAGTTCATCCACAAACATTGTAAACCTTTCTGTACTAGCTGGTAATTGTGGGACTTTTTTAAAACTTAACTGAATGAGATTCACCTGTCCAACAGTCTGATAGGTAGATACACCTTTTATACAATCCAATTTTAAAACAAGTTTTGTGAGAATGCTTAGTACTCTTCATACCATTCACTTTCCAAGTTAACCTCTTTTGACCTTATTTTTTAAAACTTTGCATGCTAAGCATATCATTAGTCATATGTCTCAATATGGAATGTTTTTTCTTGTAAAGAAATAGACACTATGGAACAGATGGAGAAAAATAGAGTTAACATTCCCCAGTTTAAATCAGCAAATTATAGTTAATAATACATACGTTACACACTTATGTAAATGTATGCAAGATTGGGCCTTTAGATTGCAGGCTCTTAGGGTAAGGAAGTGCCTTCTTATATCTTTTTAAAGCACCCAGCACACTTTTTGGAATTGTGTAAATAATTATTGATGCACAGGATCTTGTGCTTGGCCTTTTCACCGTAGGTGTATTTCATATTTAGTGCTTAGTCTGCACTTTTCCCCACATCTGTGGGTCAGTCTCCATGAAGTTAAACAAAAACTGTTTAACCCCACAAGCCTTATTTTCCCTTTGCATGCTTTAGAGTAGTAGCTACTACAGTGCTTGAACTGGGAAGAATGTTGGTATGGTTGAAATATAGATTTCAAACAAAAAAAAGGAATAAGGAAAGCAGTGAGAGCAAATAAAGTTTTGTTTATAAATTGTTTTATCACCTTCACCTGGTAAAATAATTGGTTAATGGGAAGATTTGTGTGCTCTTGTGCATCCTGGAAGAAGGACTGGGTTTCTTGCTACGTATCAGTGCAGCTCTGTACTGGACTTGGACTATATTTAAACCCAACACATTACCTAGTGTATACATTGAGAACTTACCTTTAATTCATCTGTGTCTCACAAACATGAACAATAAAATATTGTTCACTGTTTGTAAAAGGTATTGAGTCATGTTTGTTTTGGAAGGCCACAGCACATAATGCTTTTCAGTCATGTCTGCAATAAGAGACACAGCTCTTTTGGAAATAATGCCTGTATTTACCAAATGCAGAATTTAAAATGAATTTACAGGAGAGCATGATTGCAGTTTGATTACATCACTGTTATTAGTCTTACACGATTATTCCTCCCATACTGTTGTTCCATTGAAAAATACTTCAATCTTGCTGGAGTTCAGTATTTTCAATATTGAGGATTAATGTGAATATGAAGTAGAGATGGAAATCAGTAGAAAACCATTGCTTTTATTATTGATTGATATAGCACCCATTCATTTAGGGATTGTCTACAAGACAAGGCTTTTGTTGTTGTTTGGTTTTTTTGCTAAAAGGATTTCCACTGTTGCTCGCGTTCTTTCAGCTCCATCAGAATCAATGGGAGCCCTAGTGTGCTCTGAGCAGCTTAGGTGCCTGCCTAACTGCATACAAAACAGCCTATAGGAGGAGGTCTCCTTAACCTGAGAGATGGTAGATCAATGTTCAAATCCCTCCTCATCAGGTAGAGCAGAGGATTTGAACTGGGGTCTCCCGCATCTTAGGTGAATACTATAACCACTGGGCTAAAGGTTATAAGGGAGGGCCTCTTCCCGTCGTTGGCCATCTTGTGTGGAGTTAGGCAGCCTTTGAGTATGCCTAGTGGATTAGGTGGAGTTGCGCTGGGGATTAAGTGGGAGGCAAGCCTCTGGATATCCAGTGTGAGGCAGCAGTGTACAGGCTCAGAAGCAGAAACATAGGTGACTAGGACACTTTTACTGAAAAGGCTTAGGTGCTGAGTAAGTTTAGTCACCTGCAGGGTTGGGCGGCTGCTGAACAGGAGTTTTTTGGATCACAGTTGCAGTAAAAGTGGGACTTAGGCACCTATGTCTGGGGGATAGACTTCTAAGTCTATTGTACACAAAACTATATGCTGCATTGTACAGCAGGATGTATTTGCTAATCAGAAAAAAAACAGAATGCCTGCCCTGAAGAGCTAACTAGCTAAAAGACAAAATGTGACAGTACAGGTAACCGAGGGATAGGGAAAACATTATCATCGGTAAGTTTGTCAGAAGATATTTGCATATGATTGACAGAAGATGGAAAGTGCTATTTAAGTGCTAAATATTATCATATGTAAGGGTTGTGGTGTACCATTAGTTTGAAAGGCTGCTCCAGGCATAGTAACATACATACAATAAGGTGAGTTTTAAATAAATGCTTCGCTTTGAAAATCATACCACAGTTTGTCCTATGCTTTGGATACATAGAAAACCCTTCATAAAATTTCATGGCAGAGCTTTCCTGCACTTTTTCCCCTATATGCATCAGCATATGTAGTTTCTCTTTCTATTTTTAGTGTTGTAGTAAGTCTTGATATAGTTTATTTTAATCTTCATTTTGCAAACGCTTTTCTCCAGTGTTTCAATGGCATTTAAGAATTGGTTACATAAGTGACTTGATATGATGTTTGTCTCAAACAGTGAATGTAGTTAATTGGAACCTCCTTGTTTTTATATAATTAGTAATGTAATAAACACTTTATTTTATTTAATATGTCAAGAGCCTATAACAAGTAACTA